CGAAGTCAATTCAAACAACTACGAAGTTGTAACTCGAGTGGATTCTCGACAAGTCTACGAAGCCTACGACAACAAAGTCAATTCAAACAACTACGAAGTTGTATCTCGAGTGGAATCTCGACTAAACTACGAAGCTTACGACTACGAAGTCTGTTTAAACAACTACGAAGTTGTATCTCGAGTGGAATCTCGACTAAGCTACAAAGCTCACGACTACGAAGTCGATTTAAACAACTACAAAGTTGTATCTCGAGTGAAATCTCGACTAAGCTACGAAGCTCACGACTATGAAGTCGATTTAAACAACAACAAAGTTGTATCTCGAGTGGAATCTAGACTAAGCTACGAATCTTACGACTACGAAGTCGACTTAAACAACTACGAAGTTGTATCTCGAGTGGAATCTCGACTAAGCTACGAAGCTTATGACTATGAAGTCGATTTAAACAACTACGAAGTTGTATCTCGAGTGGAATCTCGACTAGGCTATGAAGCTTACAACTTTGAAGTCAGTTTATTGACGACGGTGAAGTTGCATATTTTAAATGAACTCCAGAAATAACTACGAACAAGTCAAACTATAGTTACAATACTAGTCATATCGACAAAACGAACGCCAGTGCTCGACTTCGACCAACTCGCACGATGGGTTGAGGAGAAGACAAGTTGAAAAACTTTTGTTTATCAGCTATGGTGATGCTAAAATCGTTGCTCGACTTTGACCAGCTCGCACGCCGGGTTGGGTAGAAGATGAGTTGAAAAACTTTCATTTAATTTTGTCGAATTTCCTTTTTGACTTCGACCTGTGGCAGGTTGAGGTGCTCGAGCTGATCGAAGAAGACAAATCAACCATGACTAAGGCCTCCGGGCTGGGTGTGTTAGAGGTATGCTGTAAAAGCTATGTTTTGCAGATTCTATCAATTCCATTTTGATCTGGCAATCATGTTTCGGTCAAAGTACATATGTTTGCAGTTTATTTATTTATGCAATACATACTCCATGTCTTATATTGAGGTAGTGTGGTTCGAAGAGTTTCGAATAGAAAGATCACCTATCGGTTCCTTATAAGACTAAACTATTTATTCAAAGTCTAGACTGGCAGTGAGATCCCACTTGGAAAAAGACTGTAGTGTATTCTCGATTCAGTTGGTCTTTGACTGAAGGATTACACTAACACTTATGTTAAGTGTTGAACAGGACCACGAAAGGATAAGGATATGAGACTCACTTACCGTTGTCGTAATTTCAGTGATTGATGCGTTCTCTTAAGCTGTAAGATAATATAAAATAGGCATATATTTTTATTTCTTATTTATTTGATTTACCAAGTGATTCCTATTTTAATAGGATGACATACGAGGTATTTTGGTAAGTAAGAATAATCATATGATGTGCTATTATAGATTATTTACGGTCACTATGTTCCAGTGCGCTGGATTGATGACATCCCCGAAATGAGCTCAGGAAGGAACATTATGTTAAACCCTGCAGGTAGACGAATGTCTGAGTGGTACTAATTTCGGAAATGAATAAGAAGTTGATTAATTATTTTGTTAGTAATTTAATTAATCAACCGACGTTATATCTTAAACATAGGGAG